AAAGGTTTGCGTTGCTGTAATTTGAATGCGTCACTTGACTGTGTTACTGCTATCCTTGTCTAAAATCAACATAGCAAAGGTACCTTAAATTGCTCCATCCTGCAGTTGACATTATTCTTTTAACTCTCCGATGGTGAAACTCATATTAATAGGCAGTTTGACAATAGCCTTTTCATATTGAATTATTTAAGAGGATAGAGAAAACAGTTTCAAAACATTCACAACTGTTGTGCACGTTAAACAAAGTCGTGTTTTCCTAAGTTGTTAGTGGAGTTACCAAAGCAATTAACATAGTTTTCATTTTAAGTTGACAAATGATTTGCTGGGATGTTTAAATTTTGTTCCTGTTAAATAACAGCGCCAAAGGGGCATTTTTAAGAAAGACCTTCCTGAAAATCAGAGTTATGCAAAATTAGACAACTGTAGTTTTCTGATGGACTGCTGACAAAAGATTTGATGGGTCCTCTTCAAAAATGGGTCTACATGTACATCAATAGAGTTCAGCGTTAATTAAAGTATTCTTTCAAAATTTATTACGATTCCCTCGTAATAAAGTATAAGTAAACAGACTTTCTTAAAGTCTTTTATTTATTTATTTTTTTTTTTGGTCGCTGTACGTCCTCATTGATTAAACGACTTTTCTCGATGAAGAAATAATTTATGAGAGTCGATTTGCAATAGCACTAGAAAAAAGAACTTTGAAACGAGGCATAGTGAAACCGTTTGCTGACTTGTTTTCTACTTCTGAACTTTTTGTTCACATTTCAGTTCAATAACCACACAACAGTTCAATAACCAGACCAGTAGCTAGTTTAATGACCATTTCTTTGGGCGTAGACTACAAGCATTAATGCCAGGGGAAATAGCCGTAAATACGTTAGATTTTGTTAAATATAAATGTTTAGCGATGACATAAATACCAAAATGAGAAATAGCTATGAAATACTTAGCTGAATTTCAGACGATTACTTCGAGTCACTTTTACTCCCTCAGTGAGTAAGAACGACTCGAGGTAATCGTCTGAAATTCAGGCTACGAAGACCGGTTATATGTTCAAGTAAGCTCACTAATGTAAACAGGAACATAGACACAGTGTCATGCACTATAGACTGGTGGTAATTCAAAAATTACTAATTAAAAATAGCCTGCTCCGAAGATCTGTCATCCTCATCAGGGGCACAGTGAGCAGACCTGGAAAGAAGGTCAGCCTTGAAAAGACAAGTTAAATCGGTACGAAGCAAGCTTTATGCTGTAAAAGGACCGACAAAGTGCGCGCTGAAGAAGCAGAAAAAAAGTAACAGCCATCGGTTGAGGAAACTTGTTTTTTGACTCTCTTTCGCACGTTTAAGACTCTTGTACCACAGCTGGCCGAACGTGCCTGAGTCGGCTTACATCAATCCATGTTTAATAAATAGCTCAGTGTGCCACTGAGCTCCGTTACACTCTTTTTTTTTTATAAGAATATATTTTATAAGAATATCGAGGCTGAAATTTGCGAAATTTTAAGAATATTTTAAGAATAAAGCCGAGGCTGAGATTTTGAAAAAGATAGATATAATTTTGTGTGTTGAAACATCTGTAAATATGTTTTTATGTTTTATTCGGGTACTTTCGTTTCCATCACGCTATTTCTGTGCGAAAGGCTTCGTTTGACGTGACATCTTGACCTCGCTGACTGCAACGAAAAGCGATGGAGCACGTGCACAATGTAACGCGATACAGATCTAGATACCAAACACTTGTAATTGATACCCCAATAAATTCTAAAACGAAAATGTCATAAGCTATAATTTAAGAATAATACAAGAATATTTTCAGCCTAAAATCAGCAGAAAAATAAGAATATTCAGCCTGGGCCGGAAAAACAACATTCTTATAAAAAAAAAAAAGAGTGTATGTAAAATAGTGCTCGGCACCTTTCATTAATGTTATTTTGACCAGCCGACAACTGAGATCAAATAAATGCCATTTTTATTTAAAATACTAAAGTGGTGTGGGAAGTCTGATTTGACAATTAAATGTCGATATCTTCTGCACTTTACAATAACTGTCAAACCTTGGTGACATTTTCAAGAATAACCTATTGTAACAGTGCCATTTATTGGGAATAATAACTCGTTTTTGGCAGTCGCGTTAAATTTTATTACTCAGTTGGAATAGTGCTCTTAGTCTGGCGCGCGAGGAATCGGGTGAAATTTTAAAAAACCTTTGGATGTTATTCTGAAGTGCTCTTACACTTAAAGAACAAGTTTGTTATCACTCATACAAAGTTCCTCGTTTTGAAGATGTTCGAAACAGCTCTTATCTTGTTGTACTTAACAACAGTGGTAAAAACTAAGGAAGAGGGCGTTTACTTTAAAGTCAGGGAAAATCATTTCCTAGTTGATGAAAAAACTGTTTGGGATCAAAAGGTTGACTCTTTGCTTTCGTGCTCACAAATTTGCGGGAGAAGATATGACTGCAAATACGTTAACTTTAAAAAAGACCAAGGAATATGTTCAATAAGCGACAGACAGTCTTCTGGAAAGGTCGTTCAACGAAAAGGGTATTTTTATTTGAAGAAGGTAGGTTATTTGAGCGTTATTTTTGACAGCTGTGATTCGCAGTTTTTTGAGGAGGAAATGGATTTAGAGGATGATTACAAAAACGTATTTACGTTTGGTGCGGAGGCCAATAAAACAGAATTACACTAGAGATGGCGGATTATCCGTCTGACAGACGGAAAAAATTAGACGAATTATTCGTCTAAAATGGAAAGCGTCACTTTTTTACATTAAGACGTATTCAGCCTTCTAACTCGGGCTATCTGACAGAAAATCCGTCTCTATGGCGTTAAAATTGTTAAATGAATTCGGATATTCAATAAAATATATAAAATGCCTGATCCATTATGATTTTCTATAAGATATATGACATTTTATCTGAAAGCGTAGATCCCATCTCAGGTTTTCAGACAAATTTTATTGCTTGCGGGGTTGTAGAGCTCCAAAACTAATTCCGACCTTAAGGCAGTCGTAGGTTTGTATTTCATCTAAAGATGTATTTAAAAGACTGTTAAGGTAACTGAATTTTCAAGAAGATAATTGACATAAAAAATAATAGTCATGCTGCTAACATAGTTCTATTTCTATAGGTTGAATTATCGGAGAGACCAAAACCATTAGGTAAGTTTGTCATCATCATAATCGTCATTATGATTATGATTATTATGATTATTATGATTATTATTATTTGGCCCTTATCATTTCGCTCCCTTTTTAACCACTAGTGTTTCTATTGAACACTGATTTTTAATTTGCGTCTGTATACAACCTTGTTTTCACATCGTCAAAGGTCGTTTAGAAATGGCTAATTACTTCAATTGATTATCAAGCGATTCCTTCTGCAGGCACTACTCGGCAGGTAGCAGTTTCCTCGTGCCAGATCCTCCGCAGTCAATCTCCAATTCCCACGTCGGGGATTTACTGGATTAATCCCAAAGGAGAGTCCCAGGCTAACGCGTTCAAGTCTTACTGCGACATGGAAACTGACGGGGGAGGTTGGACTCTAGTTTGGAGTTACACGTTCACGAATTACTCTAGATTCACAAGTAAATCAAACGCGATTACTCCAAGACCAAGCTGGTCTGTCAAATCAAATGTCGACGTACCCATCTCAACGACGCCTCCATTAAATGAAACAGACTTCAATGCTGTCAACTTTTCGGAGTGGAAACAACTCGGCAGCCGAGTCCTTATCAAGAGCAATATAAACAACTGGCTTGTGTGTGAGCCTGGAACCGGAAGTTTTGTAAATTGGAAAGACGGAAGTATGAGCTGCCAGATTGTTAAACGCGTGACTGACACGTGCAACATGACGTTGGCTCCTAGTAAATTTGCTTCCAGTAAAGGCTATGGACCAATGTTTTACAGCACTGGTTACTGGAACAGCACCTACTACTACTTTGATGGCTTCACAAGGAATAACTGGCCTACCCATGATCCTTGTGGAAAGAACAGAGCAAAGCACCTGAAAAATGTAGGAGACCCACACGGAAATATCTATATTCGTTAGTTATCCTCCTTTCGTTTCCGCAGACAAAGGGCACGAAGACAAAGAAAAGTTCCTGTACTTAACATTTCCTTGTAGCTTCATTGTTTGCCCGGGAGAAACCGGTTTTTGACATTATGCAAAAGTTTCGAAACTAATTTAGAGAAGCTTATGTAGTGAAATAATTGTCGACCGGATAATTGTAACCGTCAAGAGGTAACCGTAGCAGTTGTGTAAATAATGAGGTGAAATTCAACCTGTACCCATGTTGACTTGACTACTTTATAAAAACCTAGGAAGATACCGGCCATGCAATTGACTTGAACTCGTTTCTTTCGTTCGTTCGTCCGTCTCTTGCATACTACATTATCCTAAGAGGATTCAAAAAAATGTTTCAAAATTATTTATACAGCTGTTATCTACATCAACGATAGTTTTTCTTCCCTTTGTTTTGAAAGATGGGGGATAAGGTGTTCCTTTTCTAAATTATTACTACTTTTACTACTATTACTACTATTATTATTACTTTCTGAACCTAGTTTGCTTGCTCAATTCGTTGCTACATAAAGCAGTTTATTGTGCTCGGCATGTGTCATTGATGTTAGTTTGACCAGCCAACCAATAAGATCAGTTAAAAACCATCTAAAATAATACGTGCCGTGGGAAAATCTTTGACAATTAAATGCCGATACATTTTGCACTCTACAATAATTGTCAAGAGTTGTCAAGGAATCGTCACTTCTCTCAGTGACAGTCCAAGAAACAACAACTCGTTTGAGGCTGTCTGTCTAACCCTCCCGTGACCGTAAGATCGGGATGATATAATATATTTCACGACATCAACTTTATCTCCTGAAGTACTTCTAATCATGTAGTTCGTGGGTTTGAAGATGCTCGAAACAGTTGTTATCTTCCTGGACTTAACGGCGGCAGCGAAAAGGGAAGAACAGGGCGTTTTTTTTGAAGTCAGTAAAAATCATTTCCTCTTTGAAATTTCCTAGTTGACTCCTTGATTTCCTGTTCAAAAATTACCGGAAGAAACTATTGCAAATACGCAAACTTTAAAGAAGACTCAAGGATATGTTCGATCCATAGCGACAGACAGCAGTCTTCTGGAAAGGTCTTAAAACAAAAAGGGTTTTTTTTTACTTGCAAAAGGTAGGTAACTTATCATTTATTTTGAGATGTCTGACTCACTTTATCAATGAGGAAAGGAATTTAGAGGAGTCTTTATCAACGGAGCAAGAAGACCAATAAAATAGCCATAATATACCAAAAAGGTTTTTTATCTTTAAGCAAAATGTAGCAGATCCACCTGGAAATATCTTTATTGGTTAGTTTTCTTTTCTTATCTTATCAACAGACAAACTGTAAAGGGACAAAAGAAAAGAAAAGAAACTTTCTGCACTTAAAGCTTCATTGTTTGTCCGAGAAAAAACATGATCGTACAATTTTCCAGCTAGGTTAGATATGTGTGGGCAACAATGGGAGCGAAATTCCGCCTGTGATGGGCAAATTGCTGGATGGCAAACTGCGCAGTGGGACAAAGAATACAAAGAGATGACATCTTTCAAAAAGCTAATATCCTTTCTTTTCAAGGTCTCACTGCGTCGTTTGCCATCCAGTAAGGTGTTTTTTCTACCATGTGACCGTAAGTACTCTGCAAGGGCCTCATTAACATGTAAAGATTTACTGAACATCCACAAAATATAAAATAGCAAAAAGGAAAACAGAGACTACTCTTTTGGGAAAACTGAGATCTTCTTAATTTCCCCTGAGGCAGCATAAACAGGCAATGACATGTTCGATGACCATACACGCGTTTAAAAAAAAAAGATGTTTTCTCTTGCGATCCCTTCACTAGACAGTAACCCCTTTTGTCAAGAAAATGCAATGGAAAGGTGTTTTCGCAGTTTATAAGTGCGTGGAAAAGCGTGAATCTCTCAGTTCTTTCTCGGTTCTTAAAAATACCTGCATTACCTTCTAGCACTTCAGGCTATTCAGCAGCTAATTTGCAAAGCTTGTCTAGAATGAACTTAATGAAGATAACATAGCATTTTACTAGCTACTCAAAGTTTTTCTTTTCTTAGCAGTGTTCATGTACGGTCTTAGTCTCCATTCAGTGTCAGCCTCGGTTTGATCCACAGTTCCCAGCTTGATCTCATAAACTGATGAAAAATTAAAGACAAAAAGTGCTATACATTTACTTATGTTTAACATGACTTATTGTACAGCTTATCACTTTCAAGATTTAAGATTGTTTTTAATCCAGACACCACAAACAGCACTGTGACAACCCTATAACATACCTTTCATTTCAAATCTTGGTCCTACTTCTGATAATTCCACTTGTCCATCTACCTTTTTGTATGTGTGATGTCTGAAAAGAAAAAAAATCCACTTTTTATTTTTAATGACACTAATTATGAACCTTTTTACCCCTGATGACCACCCCCCAAAAATAACACCTAAAAATTTTATATTTTGTAAAATGCTGAGAAATAAAATAGCACTACATAAAATTTCTACCAAAGCAGTTTCATTTAAAATAATAGTAACACCATAGGGTTTTGTTTATGGATTAAAAAGTTGGAATATTACCATTCGACAGTTCTAATAGTACCACATGATGTGAAAGTAATACCAAAAAGATTTCATTTGAACGGTTACACTTTATGATTTTGTCCACAGATTCAAAAGTTAGAATTAGTCAGTAACTAATAAGCCCTGGATTTCCAAACTGCCATGATGTGTACAACAATGTACACCTATCTATTTTGAAAATCACAACTGTAAGAGGTAATTAATTGCCTCACCTAAATGAAATGTAGTCATCTTGGTTTGCAAATGTGATCACCCTTCTGCTGTCTTCTTTAGGAACTGGATATAAATATTTAAGAATGCTTTTTACCTGTTTGCAAAATAGAAAAGAAAAAAGTTATTGCACCATGTAATACAAGCCAGTGTAACCTTTAAAAATAGTAACAGAGGCAAGCACAGCTACTGCAAAACAAAAAATTGAATTAAGTCAACATTAAGCGATGTGTCTTATACACATGTAAAATCTCACCCTTTCTCCAAGCTTTGAATTGAAATTGTGGAATATAAGGTGAGGATATACTTCAGACATAGTGCCGATGTTAGGAATATCATGCCTCATTACCGTGTTGGACAATGTAAAATAAGCCGTTGGACCAAATGGAAGATGAGATACTACAAGACCATCTAAAGAGAGTTGAAACAACAAACGATGCAATTAGCTGCAATCATTTACTGGTAGTTATGTTCACTACAGTACACTAAAGGGCACTATATATAAAATACCTAAAACTTTTTTTATGAAGCGCACACACAAAATTTATTTTTGTCCTACATAATTTTGACCAATGCTACAATGAGTTGGTCATTGGACAATGTCTAACAAAATCTTACCTGTGATTACGTATATGACCAAACAGATAAAAAACCAAAGACTATCATTTTAAAGCTGTAAATTTGACTTGTACATACAAATATATAGGCCATCAAAATGACTGTAAGCTCAAAAATCTTTCTGGTTTTTCTGACTAGAACAGTTACTTGGTTAGGCATGACTTTTATGTCCTTCCAAATAAATAAAAATGTTGACAAACTCTTCTTGATCGGCCAATAACAAGATTAGTAATCAAGTTACAGATAGTCAACCTACCAGGTTCCCCTCTGTGTTCATGAACAAGTATCAAGTCTGTAACTTCATTGGCTCTGCAGGCTTGCACCAACTGACTCAACACATAGTTACCACGGTTTAAGCGCTGACTGTTGGGAAATATCAACCGTAATTCCTTAGGAAAAAAGCAAAAAATCATGAGAACACAGTGTCAGAAAATTTCAAACATATTTAACATGTGTATTACTAATACTTGTTTACCTTGGCAAACTGTTTCAGTCTTGAGCTCGGGTTATGAGAAGTTGTTATCATAATTTTGGGGTCTTGAACTCCAGCCCAGGCATACTCATCATCTTGATGGTTTCCTACCTCTAAAGAAGGTAAAAGGAGGCTGTTTCAGTTTAGCTAATTATTATTTGTCAGCTACGTTATTTTCCTACCTACGTACACTTATGTAAATATCTTATATAGTGTGAAGTAAAGAATTGAATTGAATTGAATTGAAGGTTTGCCATCACAGTAGCCTGGGCAGCCTGACAGCACTGTGGCTGTGACTGTTACTGTAAGTTTGGGTTTTCAGCCAGGAGGTTATGAGGGGGCATACTGAAGAGACAAAATTAACTGAGAAGTTAAAGAAAATTGCTTTTTCTCCAATAACTGGACAATCACAGGACATCCAGAAATCCTCGAGGATAAAACCTTGATTTAGTTAATTAGCTTGATAAAGCTTGCACTGAGAAAACTCCCCTAACACACAAGAAGAAAGGTATGTGCTTACCCCCTCTCTCCTCACAAAAGACTGAGTAAAGAACCTATTAAATTTTCTGCTTATTATACTTACGCTCATGTTTCTCATCATCAAATTCTATAGCCTTTCTAAGTTCTGCTTCATCCTTCCTTAGCTCTGTTGGAATTGGCTTACCCTCTAATAAAACAGATTAAAAACACTATAAATTGTGAAGCTTGTTAACAAACCACCTTACATGGGGTTC